TAAAAAATTAAGTAATTTTTTTGTATAAAAAAAAAAAATCGAAAAACATTTAACATTCAGCCTCCTAATTCGCCCCTGAAGTCTACCGAGATTGCCCCGCAGGCGCTGAAACACTTCCCCAGAAAAAATCAACCCGTTCTCAGAATATTACGTAGATAATACCCTCTTATCACCTCTTAGCCCGCAAAGCTTCGAATTTTCGCTACTCGGAACCGGAAAATGTTTCTGGATGGACCACTTCTCTAAACGGATATGGGAGACTCTAAAAAGTAAGCGACCCGTGCCTCTCTCGATTTCTGAGAGGTCGTTGTTTTTCACGGTTCATCGACGGTGGTTGAGCTCGAAAGCGAAACTCGAAGGAGCGGGGACAAAATACATTTTGCTTCGGGTAACGCGTAACGAGGTTCGATCGCGTGGCGTTTGCTGCAAATCGAATCGAAGCAAGTTCGAGCCGAGTTTCGAAGAGACTGAATCTTTTAAGCGCGAACATCCGTATAGAGAGAAACCACGCTAGGCAATAGCATCCGCGAGGATCGACAAGACCACGCCCATCCGGATATCGATTCGTTGACAGCGGTGCTTTTCGCTCGCGCTTCGAGATGTACGAAACTCGTAACCAACATCGTAATCGTCTCTGATTGTATCCGCCGCTTCCTTCGATTCTGTTTCTGCTTCATCGTGAAAGGATATCCGTAGAAAGAAGGCACAGTCCCCACACGAAACAAGGAGCTTAAGGGGCTGCGTGGAGGAAGCGAGGTGAAAAAGGGTGGGTGGATAACTTGTATTCGAAAAGTCATCGTATAATATATGAGCGTATTTTTATTTGATAATTGTGCGAGGGTCGTTTGATAATTAATCAATCTAAAAATGTTGCTCTTAAGTGGGGATTCTAATAATTCGCGTAGCAAGTTTCCTAATAACCCGTTCTTGAGAAGCATAACAAAATGTACCGTTCTTACATTATAAATAAGGAAATGGATTTTCTTTGACTCTGTAAAAGAACGAATGGCCCCGTTAAAACGGATGGAAGCGATATTTTCTTTGATCGTGGATATTTGCAAGGCGGAAAGAGCGAGCAGCGGAGATTAAATTTCGCGATGGAAAGGAGAGAGGAAAGTGGACAAAGTGCCGGGGGAAAGCAAGGGAATCGGGAGAACGGAAGGAAATAGAAGCTGATAAGGGACGAGGCGAAGATGAAGAGACGTCAAGGACTCGGGGGAGACTCGACTTGACTCGACTCGAGTACGTGAGGATGGGTGTCGTTCCATCGAGGGGTGTTTCGTATCGACCGTTATTCGGCTCCGCCTATTTCGGAGTACCAGCGCCACGCGATTTCTCGCTCTTGTTTCCTTCGAAAGTTCACAGAATGCAAACATCAACGATGTAACCTGCCGCTCCGCGAAACGCGTTTACGTTTGATAGGAACTATGCATGTTGATACGCGGTGAACCGCTGCTTTCATCGCATCCCTCGATAACCGACGATATCATCCCCGGAACGATCTTCGATGCCTATTATGCACAGTCGAATCGAGCGTAATTTACTAATTGCATTAATCACTCGGTTAATTAATTTTCAACAATTTCGTATTCAAATCTCTTCGGGTAGATACACGTTTCCATATTTGACTCCATCTTCTTGGATGTAATAGGCGTGGATAGTACAATAGTTATATCCAATACAATAAACAGTAATTATTTCTAAGTACGACCCCAGAATGGCATAAACTGCTTCTCATTGCGTTATTCCTCGCGCGTTTTAACAATCGCCTTCTGATCTCGTCGCGTTCACCGTATTAGCATACGTCGTACGCGTTGTGTTGCTTTCCTCGTCGCGAACTCGCCATAAATTAGCCACGATCTTGCGATTCGAGCATACAGCATTATACGCGTGATGTACACGACTGTATCGCGAGTGGAAGGAAATGGTACGCAACCGAAGACGGGGGAGGGAAGAGTGGGTTGATTGATAGCACGGTGAGAAGAAAAGGGACACGTGGAGTACGCAGTGAAACGATGCGACGCGAGATTTGAAAAACACCGCAAGTACGGATGTATTTCCCTTATTTACGTTGTTGTTTACTACTTGTCGACGGAGTGAAAGCAAGTCGAGCATTTCACTTTTATTAGCGAATAGTCCGTACGAAATGGCGTGCCGTACGAAAAATAACATTATTTTCCTGGCCTGTAATTCCATGAGTTCGCCCCGTTTGTCTTCTTATTAGCGAATGAATGCGTTTGACGTTGAACGAGGGAGCGTTTCAACGATGCGAAACGATAATTGAGGGTGAACGACTCTCGCGCCCCGATACTTGCGATACCCAGCACGGTGTGAAGTTTCATAAGACTGTCGGTCAAACGAGAAAATAAATAATTCATTCCCGTGGTTGTATCGGCAATCTCGCGTAAACGATGCGGCTACGTGAACTGTCTCTTCATAAAAATTCACTCGTTTTTATACTGAACGTCCAATTTGTTTTCTTACGATTGCCGATAGCAAAACATGGACTTGTTTGGTAATAGGAGAAACTACGTGTTAATAGCGCGTAATACATAAATGTGCAATAAAGGCGTATAAAATAAAAAGATAGAAACAGGGATGCACTATTAGAATATTTTACCGATTCGCCAACGATTTACCGGTATTTTATTGAAAATTAAAGTGCCATCCTGTCGCAAATATATGTCGAATAGGATCGATGCACCATAAAAGAGACGCTGACATTTGCTCCGCAGTGCTTGAGACGCGTATTATGTCTGCAACGGTGTTCAAAAGACGGATAACACATAAATACATACGTAGGTAGCATGTACCGCGATAAAAAGTTTCCGCCGTTCCGTCATTTACATTTAGGCAGGGTTCTCGTTTGAATAGAAAATCGACTTTATCGATTATATGTATGTATCTATCTTGGCGTCCTCTATGACTAATATCCTTCAATTTTTTAATAATTGCAATTACCCGCATACAAAATTTGAATTTCCTTTCAAAACACACGTTTCTAAAAATTACTCATTTTTTCACCCAAGCCAGAAGCCTCCTATAACTCCACCGTGATAATACGTAATAACGTATAATAACATCGAAAATGAGGCACAAATACATATTCCGTTTTTCCTTTGGTTAGATTAGATAAGACGCGTAAAATCGATTCCCATGTTACAGGTACATATAGTAATCGTTATATCGATATCAGTTTGCATTGCGTCATCCGAACAAGGAACAGACAAAAGTGGGAAGAATTAGTATGGGGAACACAATGAATTTTAGTAGGATCGGGTTACGTAAAAGTGGAGTCGAAATTAATTTTGACGTTGGTCTTGACTCGAGCCTTTAAAGGATCAAGTCCCACTAAAACTATTATTAATGTGACGGGGAAACTGTTACGTCCATTTGCTCTTAACCACGAACCACGTCGTACGGTTCATTATGGGAACTAAGAATTGTCGAGGAGAAAGAGATGGTGCTTGAGCAGAGCCATACACGCGCTCGCTCGTGTTCCGTATGCGAAAGAGAAAGACAAAACGAGGGGGGAACGGAAGAATGAAGTAAGGGGCGAAGTGGCACTAGTGCTGGGGGAAGAGGAAGGTTGTGACGAGGAAAGATAATGGGAAGAAAAGAGTAGGAGCAACAGAGTGACGAAGGGAAACAAAAATGTTCTGTATCGGGCTCGGATGGGGTCTAGGGGAATATACGTTACGAAACTGTCAATGATCACAGTCAACGTGTATACGGTACTAAATCGTCTATTTACGGTATACGCGCTAATGGTAATGCGTCACGTTGTTAGAGACGTTTCAAGTAATATCGAATCGAAACGTAACGATGAAAACGATGAAAACGAGCAACGACGGACGTTTCTATGGAATCGACGAGACATCGAAATTTTCGATAGAACGACATTGCTGCAACGCAAGCGGCAGTCTTAAGCGGGTTTAATTTCGTTTTCTTCGTTGAACTCGTGTACCCAAGTGTCATTTGTCAGCGACAAATGCTCGTGTCCGCCGCTGGTGTAGCTCGCCATAACAACGTGTAAGAGACGATAGACGGGGCGAGTATAAGAGAGCAGAATGGAGGGTGGAACATAATAGAGAGGCAGAAAGAGAAAAACAGAGAAGAGTTTTGTTTCGATGTATGTTCATACATACGGTGATGCCCGCAAGCAGGGCTGCTTCTGCTTTCGACGAGGAAAAGTAGGGGGAGGAGATGGTCGAGGTGAGGAGGGTCTTCAGCTCCTTCGGGCTCCTTCGTGCTCCTTCGTACTTCTCCAAGCTCCTTCGGCTTCTTTTCTTCTTTCCGGGTTTTGCCACGCTCACCGTGACACCACACGGCCTTCGGTAGAAGACGACGGAGGACGCCTGTGCAGAACCCTCGCCCTGCTTCTAACGGTTGCCCAACACCGGAAACCACAAACAAGGGCCCCTATCCTATTTTTCATTTGTTCCTGCTTCAATCGTTTTTATTCTTCTCGTCGCCTCGTTAACGTTTACAGGTGTTCGTATCTGATAGGAAACCCGGTATAACATCGTATTTTCGATGTTTAAAGTATTCTTATGCATCCTATAGGAGTAATCATGTAACGATACTTTAATGTGCATATCAGTGATGGGCAAAACCCTAGGGTTCGAATAAATTTGAAGTTTGCTGATATGTTTGTCGTGTTCCCTCTTTTGACAATTTTCCAAAGAAGGAAACGAGACAAACGTATCGGCAAACTTCAGATTTATTCAAAGTCTAGGGTTTTGCCCATCTCTGGTGCATATACGAGTACGTTTGAATCTAACAATAAGACGTAGACACTGTACACTCGCTATCGTAAATGAAATATATAGGTTAGAGTGTTTACAGAATGAATGGATCGAGTAGCATCGAAGCAATTCCATGCTCTTTTCTGTCTAATAAATCTCGCCCAACGCGATAAGCCGTTTGATCGATGACGACGGTGTTTCTACGACGCTGAAAATAATTTTGAAACGACCGTCGTAGGGAACAGTGTGGCGACTGGAGCGACAGTACGGTCCTGCACGAAGTTCTCCGAGCACAGTCGAGAACGGCCGAACTTGGTGGAGGCCCGTAGCCATGTGTTGCGGTCTGCCGTGAGTGCTTTCTGACAAGGGAGGTGCGGTGTCTGCGTTTTTTCTTTACTCGTCACAGACTAGAATACTGCGATTTTTCGTGCAGCCCGACGAGCTAAGCGTGGCCAAAGTGTCGTGGGATCGCGTCGACGAGACTCGGGTGTGCCTGAACGCGAGCAAAGTTCGACATTTGGTAAAGAAAGTGTGTGTATTTCTCGCGGCGTCGGCCGAACGAGACGACGAAGAAGGAGCTGCTGCCTCGTCTCTCGATGTGTACACGAGTCTACGGTCGAGGTGTCTCTGTGAGAGTGCGCGATCGAAACGTACAGCACCGATCCGGACCAGTTAAACACCGGTAGGACGTACGCAGTACGCCAAGTCCGAAACAGAACCATCGAGTGGAAACGATGAAAGAGAGAGTGCGCATGATAATCGTATCCTCGATAGCTGCCGGATAGAGACGCGCAGGGTGCTGCGTGCGAACATCTTTCTCATTCTCGCTGTGTCTCTCTCTCTCGCTCCTTCGCACGTACCTTTTCCATCCTTCTGTTCGCGTCTTTCTCGATACCTCTGCCTCTGGCTTGCGTGTGTATGCGTGTCTGTGTCGGGACGAGCGACGCGAGCAAACGAACAAACGAACGAGTGCGCACGGGCATGCTCGTTTCTGTGTTGGTACTAGCATCATCCCGTTCCGTCGTGTTTTGTATATTCCGCTCGTACCGAGTGTCGCCTGGACGTATCAGGATTATCGTGAATACGCCTCGTTAATTACGCGTCGCGAGCTTCGTGAATTTGCGAGGACGATATCGTTCGTTTCCCGTGCGGCTATTGGATCTATCAGGAGCTCGGATCTCATTCCTCGTTGCTCGCGTTCAGAGGGAACTCGGACAGTGTACGCGTTACACTTCGTACTCCGTAAAGGTGCCGCGGTACCCGTTCCTATGTTGTGTACTCGAGATTGCCCAGTGCTACGAAAAGTGTGATGTGCCTCGCGATTAGCCCGCGTTGAAGTATAAAGCGGATCTCAAAGATAAAGTACAACGCCGTAGGAAGGAGAAGGATGTGGTGTGCGCGATGTGGGAAAGAGACAGAAAGGTGAAATGAGAGAGTGAGAGTGAAGGTGGGCAAGCAGCTTAACCACACCGAAAAAGAAAAAATACAACGTCGCGCGCAGATAATCGACTCGTATATCCGATCGAATCTATGGGATGTATGGTGTTGCAAGGTGTATTTAAATGCTCGTTCGTTCTTCCGCGAGTATAGTGCGTGCGCATACATATGAACGTGCGAACAGAGTCGTGAGGTGAATTATGCAGCGTGTCGCGAGGCACTCGACATCCCCAGAGAATTGGTCATCTTTCTTGGAACTTGGATTACTTTACAGGATACGCTACCGTGGATGAATCCGTGCATACGCCCGATGAACGGATACCATCGATAGAAGGGGAAATACTTTGAGGAACGCTGGATTCGGTCGGCGTGTGTACTTCTAGTCGCTGATACGCGCGCACAATGGTAAGGAGCTCGTACTTCCGTCGAACAACACTTTTCGTGCGTGGTTGCGTGGTGTGTTCGCGCGGGATCGTGTGCACGCTCGTGTCGTACACATACATGCCCATCACTTGACCATGCATGGACGCAGCGCCTTAGCGTACTTATACCCCGAGTGTGTGCGCTTCAGCTCGCCTCGCCTCGCCTCGCCTCGCCTCGCCTCGTTTCGCCTCGCCTCGCGTCGCCTCGCGTCGCCTCGCCTCGTCTCTCCTAACCCCGAGTCTCGCGAGCAAAAGCGAAGCCGGTACGCGATGTACGTGTCGCGCCACACATTCTCGCGCTCGGTTGTAGCTATCTGCTGCCTGTCTTCTTTGGAACTGGTATCGTGTACATATTTCGCAGTATGATGCGCGCATTACTTCTACGCGCCATTTACGCTTCGACTGCTCGTATTTCGTATCGTTTTTGCGTGGCTCGATACGATGAACATTTTTTTTTAAAGCCTCTGATATGATCGAATACGGATTGACCTCGGCTTTGTGCTTCCCTAGAAGTTTTTTTTTCCCCAAACTCGTTCTTTTCGTGCTACAATGGGAGACCGTTCTCGTTTCGTTCGCACGTTTACGTTGATTTTTCATCTTTGATGGAACATTCGATATGTCCGGGATATCTAACATCGCTTGTAAACCGGTTATAACTCGACGTGGTCATTACTTTATTAACGTACGCAAAGGAAATTAAGTTCGCCTATAAATTTTCTCCTTTTTTTTTTAGTACAGTCTAATTTAATTTAGTTTACAAATTAAATTAAACGGTCGAACGATGTTGCCAAACGAAATAAAAATTACTTTGCCATATTTAATTAAAAAGACAGTTTGCCGACATTCGTTTCGCTACAAGAGTTCCCGAAAGGAGGCTATAATGGAGGATATTTGATTCAACGGCCGTTACATTTCGCTCAAAGGTTGCAAACTATTTCGCGGCTCTCTCACCGCGGAAACGTTTGATACGTCGAATTTCGTCCCAACATACATACGTGTATTTACGTAACACGACTGGAGGCCGTTATAATGGTTACAGAGCGTCATCGTTTAATACTTGCGCCTCTCTACATCGCGTTCTATGATCGCGTAGAATCGATTGTAGATTTTCGGATAGATACGCCCGAAGCTTTAGACTTATAGAGCACAGGCCAGTAGCACACCGTTAAATCCCAGCCGTATGACGGTATATTTTAGCGACAAACAGTTTGGTTTTCCAGCAAAACGATATAATTTCAATTAATTAACGAGATTGACATTAAACGAGAACGTTTTGCCCGGAAGTGGCAAACAGGCGTGTACATTACGCATATGTATATGGACTGTAGGTATACATACGTACACGGTGCGATACGATCGCTATTGTCGGTTTATAACCGAGAGAGCGGTGAGTGAACCCAAACGATCCTCGTGGAGAGTAATTAGCGGTCGTCGTCGGTGGGGCGGTAACGTTGCCGACCTCGAGGTGTCATTAACGAGCGGTTTAAACGGTCGCTCTTCTCGAGAGAATGAGAAATCGATCCTCGATCGATTCATCTCGATTGCCCCTCGTATCTTCGACTTTCTTTTCCACTTACCACTCTTTCGAGCTGTATTTCATCCTTCCTTTAACGCGCAAGCATCGTCCTTCCACCTATGGCTCGTCGATCGATTGTCTCTGGTGCTTGTAAACTCGAATAAGACATGTTCGGTCGCCGTTCGTCATGAATAAATGATGATTGATCGATGGATAAATAAATTCAAGTATTTCGAATTGAATGTCTATTCGAAGTCCATACAAAGGGATCATTTCTATAAACGTTATTAGTACAAATAAATGTGTAACGTTATCTGCATCATTAGTGGAGTATTTTTTTATTTTATTTTTACGTCTTAATTGCACTGTAACGAAAATGAGGTACAAGAAAACGGAAAGAGAAAACGGAATACAATGCCACTGGTGAATGGGCGAGGTTCACCGTGGGCTGTTTTATAACCTAACCCTAAATAAACATCTCTCATTGTTCCATGTACCGTTGATACTACCCAACACTATTCATTCCCATTTCAGTCATAACTTCCTTCAGTGAGCTGTTGTGGATAACGTTACGTTTTGTCTTTTCACTCCTTCAGACAAGTCTTTAGTGTAGTATACAGAGTGTCCGCCCGAAAATGAATACACTGTTGTCTTTTTTTTTTTTTTTTTTTTTTCTTTTGTAATTTAAATACCGTTAGTTTTGGGAACACTCTGTATATGGTTGAACGTTCCTAACGTTACTTCATATTCTCAACATTTCCGACTTTCCTGTTTTCCCGACGTGTTTTCTTTCTGGCATTTTATCTAACACAGATACCTTCGAAGCAACAAATTATTTCGTTGCGCAAACGGTCGAGTCATAATTACAGAAATACAGTTTGTTTTAATTAGCGAGGCCGACGCGTACATTATTCTAATCTAGAATTGATTAAACGGCCGACTTTAGACGCACGTTCATCGGGCGACCGTCGTGTTTGCAACGATAACCCTTGTACGATAAAATCGTCTCCCCGTAGCATTGGTAAATTATTATTGTCGCTTCCATTACAGGCGTCATTAGTATTGTCCCCCGGTTGGCACGATACGCTGGTTACGTGACGTTAAATTGTAAGAATTTTTTTTATGCAATTTCATCGCGAATACTTTTCGTTAACCGAAATGTGCTTATTATCGTCAGTCGGATAAACACTTGGAACTTAAAGCGCTGTAAATTAATAATACATGAGAAAACTATTTGCAATCATAGTTACTCCTAGAGGGCTTGTCTAAATTCACGTTTATATAAGTTTCATAATAGAGGAATTAGAAGAATATTAGTTGTGTATAGATTACATACTTCCGTATTGTAAAATAAAACCATTAGCATTGATAACACTTGGTAAATACACTCGTATCGATAATCATGCAAATTGATTTCTCTTGTCCGATATTTCCTTGGATGTAAACATGGAGTAACGTACTTGTTTCAAAGGTGAAGACAACGTCGTATAAGTCTGTTTATGGCCAGTGTATAAGTAATTATTTCTACGCAATTATGTAATATAAGGGGAAGTTTTTCAACTTTATTAAAACCAATATATTTATGTCCAAAACGTCGACAACGTCTCTTATTAATCATCCGTTATTTCTACACAATTTCATTCTCCTTTGTTTGCCTACCTCGTTCGACTAGAACCCGAGCGACGTACGAGCCAAGTTGACTATCAAATTTGTACAAAAGTCACGTACATGTAACATACATTCGTTAGAATTCAAGGTAGAAAATGCTATAACAAACGGCTCGGTCGTTAAAGGTGGTCGCTAGAAGTTACGCTTTTGGTTAAGACTGTACTCTACTGGATGAACTACGGAAGGGTATCGGGCATAGAACGTATTGTCCAGAGTTACAGGATGCTTGGTCATTTTAATGCAATGATAAAGAACGTAACTTTCCTTTCCGACGAAAAAAGTTTGATCATTTGCCAATTTACTTCCGTTGGCAGTTTTTCTCGCGGCATACACGCGGTACTATTGCACGGACAGATGTACAGTTAAAGCGAATCACGGCCAATACTTTCCCGGGGCAGGAATGTCGAGTCTACGGGCAAGCACAAAATGGCTGCCAGCAGGAGCGATCGACCGTGCGTGCGTGCGAGCGAGCAAGCGAGTTAGGCGATGTTGTTTCTTCCCCTCTCCCTGTTCCTCTCACGGTTTCTTCCTACATTCACATATGCACGCGCATTATCTCTATCTCTCTCCAGCTGGCTTCTCCGTCTCTCTCACTCTCTCGCACACACTCGACCGTGTACATTCGGTCATGCTGTCCCTTTCCTTTTCCCTTTAACCATATAATATCTTTTTCCGTTCAAATTGCAGTATAACCTTCCTGTTTCTCTTGCTCGCTCCCTTCTTTTTTTTTCGTTTTTTTTTCCTCGTGTATCTGCCTATCTTCCCATCGAGCTGTCCTTTTCTCGCGCGTTAGCACGGTCACGCAGGTATCGCGTCTGTTGAAGCTTGTTTCTCTTGTTCGCAGTTTCACTGTCGGAATCGCTGGAACTGCTTTGATTCGTTTCCGTCTTTTTCGCCTCTAAAACGCAGTTATGTCCCTTGTTCATTATTCCTAACCATAGGATAAAGATTCATCGTACCGACAGTCCGTCGTCTCTTTTTTACCAATGCAAAGTAACTTGACTCTCGGAGGACTTCTGGGCTCTCGATTAACCTCGCGTATTTACGTATTATTTACAGTCTCGTTAACTATCATTTCAGCACGTGCATCGTTCTGTTACGTTAAAAAAGAGGAAAACGAGTAATATGAACGTTGCTATGTGTGTTACTATTTAGCATTCTCGAGTATCGCGGTAAATACCATTTAGATTTTTTTTTTTTTCTTTTCTAACCTCCAACGTTAAATTTCTTATAAATGAATAGTTTTAAACATCCCGCTTGAGTTAGCTTTGTCCGACGTACGGTTCGGACACCGTAATGGAATTACGTGGGCCATTTACAGAAAGGGTGATTAAAAACATGGCCATTACCCGAAGGGCGCAAAGAATAGGGTAGCAGGAGCGAACAACAGCAGCGTTGACCGACTCGTAGAACGAAGGGTACGTCGCGTAGCATGGCACGACATCGATGCCACTGAAACTTGTATAGGCGTGCTGGCTGCTGCACCAACACGGTCGCTCGTGGCTCTCGCAACGTTCCACGATCACCGCATACGTACTAATTGTGCGCCGTAACCAGCCAAGCTACATTGTCTGGCATTATGTGTACATGACGTACTCACCACTCTCTCGGATGAACGTGCATAGTTTTTCGAAAGTTTGCAAACGCGCATCGGACCAATTTGTTAATCCTGTCGTTTATTTCCTGCTCCGCCTTGTGTCTTTCGTTCGCTCGACTGCGCGTACGCTGTGCAACATAACACGTTGCATAGCGGGGCTATAAAACTTGTTAAAAATAAGGGGGGAAATTTTGCATATTAG